AATTAAACTCTCTCCAGTCTCACTGTAAGACTCTCTCTCGTAATGATTAAAAAAATTTGATTTTGTACCAGCAAAGAATATAGGCAATGAATGCAGCCCCACGTGGCGCTTGGAAAAGGTCAGAGCGATTGAGCGGGAGGGTGAGAAGCAAAGGGATAAGATGGAGAGACTGCGAAGGAAAGGAAGCGAAAGAAGAAGAGAGAAGAGAGAAGAGAGAAGAGGGAGAGGTTGTTACGGGAGAACTAAAAATTAATGGCAAAGGGTATGGTGGCAGATACACATTGAAGGAGTGCAATTAAGGGGGGGGGGGTGGGTGTTCCGGTTAGGTGGATCTCCGTTTTTACAATGCTTTGAAGCCAGGATACCCCCTGGATCCATTTGATTTGATTTCTCCTTTTCCTTAATTTCATGTCGCTTCTCTCAACTTGTGTCTCTCCCATACAAATGTTTGAATTAATATCCATCATCGTCAAATACATGAATCAAATGCTGGCAATCATGATCTTGATGGCGAAAGTGCGAGAGCGCCTCTGAGCCCACGCTTAATTAGCGTCACCCACCTCCCCTTCCTCTTCATTTAATATTTTCCTAGAGAGATCAGTGAGAGGGGCCTTCTTTTCCCTTTCCACGAGTCCTTTTCCGACTTTCTTTTTCTTTGGTGTTGGTGTCTGGGCATGGTAGTGCCCGCGAAAGTCAGATTTGCTCTGTGCTCTTTGCTTTGCTACTAATGGTTTACGGCTCTTAACTTCCTTCGAAGAAAAGCCCAGTTTCTTTCTTGGCACTGAAAGAGATATGGGTACTGCTGCGAGGAGGATCAGGTGTTCCGATCGTCGTCTTCTTGTCGGGCCTTTGTTTTTGGCGGTTCTTCTGCACGCTGCGTCGCACGCTTCCGCCACCCTAAACTACACCAGGTACAGGCCAGTTAGTAGCCTCAGACTGGAGAGGATTCAACGGCACCTGCGCAAGATTAACAAGCCTCCTGTCCTGACCATAGAGGTAATACTATATTTATGTAACAATTACTTGTTTTCTTTTTCCTCCCTTGGCTAGTATTCTTCGTTTACTCTTATGGATGAGGCCGTTGTTGCAGAGCCCCGATGGGGATGTCATCGATTGCGTTCACAAAAGAAAACAACCGGCTCTAGATCACCCGCTTCTAAAGGATCACAAGATCCAGGTGCGACTACTTATATATGTTCATCTGCATTTTAGTTTTGATTTTGTTGCTGGACAACGAAGTGAATAGAGATGTAATAATATGTATTGTATGGAATGTAACAGAAGGCGCCGACAAAGATGCCGAGGGGGAAGAAGGAAGAGGTGGAGGGAGAAAGATCAGAGGAGGAAGAGACGATGGTAACGCAAATGTGGCATCGGAATGGGACGCGCTGCCCAAAGGGGACGATTCCCATAAGGAGGAGCACAGTGCATGATGTGTTGAGAGCCAAGTCCTTGTTCCATTTTGGCAAGAAACACCCCCGCCGCTTTCCCAATCCTCTCTCTCGCCGTACCGACGCTCCTGATGTTGTTCCGGCAACGGCCACGAGGTCCTTTCCTGTCCCCCATGTACCTTATTAATTACACATCACAACATGTCATTTTTAATTTTTATCTTCACGTCACCCAGATTAGAACTTGCATTTCTACAATAACTAATTAATGCGTACTGCTGAGTCCTGGCATAAGTTAAGTGTGACAATGCTAGATTCATACAAGTCTGTGCAAAGCATATACTATAACTAATACTATGTCCAGAGTTTTCACTTGCATTCCCCAGAATTTTTTTTTTGGTGAACTTAATAAAAAATGAGGATATTAATGTAGAGTAGCTAGGCGAAATACGATGAAATTAATATTAGAAAAATGAGACTGGAGTGGGATGAAGGAAATGAAGATGGGGTTTTGGGTGCAGCACGCTATAGCGTACACGGGAACATCGGAGGAGGTGTACGGGGCAAAGGCGACCATAAATGTGTGGGACCCGTCGATCCAGGTGGTGAACGAGTTCAGCCTCTCCCAGATCTGGGTCCTCTCCGGATCCTTCGACGGCACCGATCTCAACAGCATCGAAGCTGGATGGCAGGTACTCTATTTTTTTTTTTTTTAAATTTCTTTACTCCTCCTTTTCTGTCTTCCCCTTTTTTCCCTTCCTCAAACCCCTCCACTTCATTTTCTATTATGACGCTTTGATTATTGCACTAGACAGGTCAGTCCGGAGCTTTATGGTGACAGCAGACCCAGATTATTCACTTATTGGACGGTCAGATCCCTCTCGCCATCTCTAGTGTTTCCTTATATATAGTAATATTTAGAACTATAATGCGACTAACTGAATATCGCGTCGTGTACTTTACGTAAGTGCAGAGTGACTCGTACCAAGCGACCGGGTGCTACAACCTTCTGTGCGCTGGTTTTGTGCAGACCAATAGCAGGATAGCCATCGGAGCTGCCATTTCTCCCGTGTCCTCCTACGCTTCCAACCAGTACGATATTACCATCCTCATCTGGAAGGTCTCATCATCATCATCATCATTCATATTGCTTGTTATTCGTCATATAAACACAAAAACCTTGATGCATGAACGATTTTTGTGACATAGGACCCGAAAGTGGGAAATTGGTGGATGAGTTTCGGCGACAACACACTAGTAGGGTATTGGCCGGCAGAGCTATTCACGCACCTAGCGGACCACGCAACGATGGTGGAATGGGGTGGGGAGGTGGTGAACACGCGAACCAATGGCCAACACACTTCCACCCAGATGGGCTCCGGCAACTTTCCCGCCGACGGCTTTGGGAAGGCCAGCTACTTTCGCAACCTTGAGATAGTGGACACCGATAACAGTCTCAGCGGCGTCCAGAACATCCAAACCTTGGCGGAGAACACTAACTGCTACGATATCAAGAGCTCCTACAGCAGCGACTGGGGCACTTACTTCTACTACGGTGGCCCCGGCCGCAATCCCCTCTGCCCTTGATCCGATATATATATATATAGATATATCCCCTCAACTCCTCGTCAATTGTACGTATTCATTCATCATACATTTCATTCTTGTTAGTTTCTGCCACTTCCACCACCTTTTTTTTTGGTAATTTGTTCATGCTGGAAGGGATTGGAAAACCACAATTTTTAACTTAGTCAATAACAGCAAGAATTTGCATTATTGTAATCAGACTCTTGTGAAGCATTACCTCGTACAAAAGCTAATTGAGGCGAGGTCAAGTTTGGGGGTAGCATATGGCCAAATCCAAATGCCACAAAAGTGTAATTATTTTTTTCCCATCATCATCCACATCCTCATCAACGTGGGTCATTCCAACTACTCATTTTACCGACTTTGTATTTCTGTGAATGATCCATATGTCTCGGCTGATTATATCATCTTTCTTTTCTATTCTAAATTAGAATGCGTTGCTTTAGTTTGTGCGACTACAAAAGCAGTGTGCGTTTTCCTCGAAGGACGCAGGTCGTAACGAAGGCGTGCCGTTCTTGTAGCTTTTTTTTTTCCTTTTTTGGGGGGGCCCAAAAGTTGAAAAATCAAAGGCGGCCAACGAGATCATTACCCTTGCCCTTTCTGCTCACTTGCCATCCCTACATTCCTTGCTGTTGTTACAGTATTACCAGTTGGCATACATACAATGCACTGCAAAAGGTATAGCCACATGCCATGTTACATCTTATGAATCTCAGACCTACATAGCACAAACAGGCAAACTCTCTGTTATTGTCCAAAATAATTTGTCCGGACTAGTTACCCAACCAGAAAAGCTGATGAATAGATGCCCATGCGTATTCCGTTCTTTTTTAAATGCATAAAAGAAAAAAAACAAGGGTTAAGGTGCGCTCAGCACCCTGAACTATTTACCCAGGTGCGTCCAGTGGCCTAAAGTAATTTTAGGTGCATCTAGTGTCCTAAACTAATTAAAATGGTGTGTCAATATCCCAGGCTAACAGAAATGTTATGTTTAACTGTTACTTTCTTGACTCAGTTTAAAGTTGACCCCAGATATTCTACATGGTAAACACATGGGCACCCGATGTGTATTATTCTTACTCAAAAGTCAATTTATTTAGAAGAAGAGGAAGGAAATAAATTCAATTTTGAGTAAGAATAATACATATCAAATGTCCATATGTCTACCATTTAGAATATCTGGGGTCAACTTTAAGCTGAGTCAGGAAAGTAACAGTTAAACATAACATTTCTGTTAGCCTGGGATATGGATGCACCATTTTAATTAGTTTAGGACACTGGATGCACCCAAAATTACTTTAGGCCACTGGACGCACCTGGGTAAATAGTTCAGGGTGTTGGGCGCACTTTAGTCCAAAAAACAAAGCCAGAAAATGACTACGTGTTTGTTTAAAATAGTAATAAAATTTTTTCAAAAACAAAATTTTAATTATAATTTATAAAATATAAGGTAAATATCTGAAGAGAATTTTATCTCAATTTAAGTAAACCTATTCATGAGCACTCAACATAAACCAGTACAGATTAAGTCATACGTAGGGATCGTTGACCCCACTAACAGGATTCAAATAAAAGGGAGACCATCCACTCCATCCAGTGCCCCTATTAGAGTGAATCGAGAGATTTGGGGATCGGTCAAACTAGTATCTACCAATCGAAACCAGTGATTCAGTCAACTTTTCTGTTTTAAACCTTTTTAGGTATTTTTAAAAAAACATTTAAACCATACTTCTGAGTCATGACATGCGCACGCTTGTGCATTTATTATAAGCATTACCAGAAGAAAAGGCAATAAGTAAATTGGTGAGAAATGCATATGTTATTAAATCAATAATCATAAAAGAACCATATAAAATATACTATAGATACCATCATTTCACCTCATTTTTATTTATTAAATTATTAAGTAATTATATTTGCATTCTTACCTTTACCCACTTTATTTTCTTATTTATATTTTAAATAAGCTTTTATATATCATCATCTTTTCTATTTAAAGCACCACCACCTCATGACTAATGATTTATGACATCATCAACATATTCCATGTACGTGTGTGTATCACCACAGCATTTCGCATTTGGGTTGGAAAAACCCAAGCTCAAGCGTACCCTGCAGACTGCCAATAAATCGAATCATTTCTGGACAGTCAAGCAACCGCCAAACTGGCAAAGTGCCATATATAGTATGCATATCCCACAATTAGAATATATTGTGACGAAGTGGATAACTTTCGGGACCATGAGACAAGATAAAGTCTGGTCCTTCACTATGATGGTATTGCTCACATTATGCTATTCATGTACAACATTCACAAGCAAAACAGGGAAGGAAGCCCCAGAACTCAATCTTTCCTTGATTTGACCTGGATCCCGAGGAGGACAAGTCCCAAAGAAGTAATTGCAGACAAGAATGTTGACGAGTAGAAAAGAGCAAGCAGTGCCCCCCTCAGAGACTGCAACCAAAGACGATGATACTTATGGAGTCAGAAGCTTTAAGTAGAGTAATAACAGAAATTTCAATCAGATGTTCTTTTAAAGCACCTTAGCTAGCAGCAAAGCATTCTCATTTGCATACTGCAAAGAACTCTCAGGAATGTTTTGAATTCCCTGGGCTATTTCCCATGAAAGAACCCTTCATTTAAATTTTGACAGCAATTAGGGAGAAAAATTAGCTTTTCCCTTCCTTGGACTGTAGTGTAAATAAAAATGAAAAGAAAATTCATATCTTGATTAAAAAACGATGACACTTACCCAAAGACAAATCCAATTACTGCCCCAATATTCGCTTTATCTGGTGTTAATTCAACCTGCAATTCTCCAAACTGCAGTCGGCAACAGCATTGTTAATTTATTAACGTTATGGCAAAGGTTTCTCATGAATTACAGGCAACTTCCTATAGAGACGAACACTAAGCACTAACCTTCAGCATTCTAGCTTCCTCTTTTGGGGGCTCATCTGTTATTGCAGATGTCAAAGTATCAGATAGAACCTTCCCAGCTGTAATCATCGCTCTTGCAATCTATTATGGTAAGACATTGCATGACATAACAGTCACTTGGAAGCACATTGCTACTTCAAGTATGGAAACATGCATTATGCCTATTAATCCAATGAGTAGGAAAGACGACGGATTTAAATACATCATCTGATGTGCTCATGCTGGTCAACACTGACAGAAGACTGACTTGTGTAAGATAAGCAATTGATCGAAAATGAAATCAATGTCTTCTACATATTATTTGTACCCAAAACCGGGCTGTTGCACGCAATAATTAACGCACAGCTACACACTTCATGTGTCATTTATCATTTATAATTGTCTCCATGAACCAGATAACATTTAAAAAGAAAAAAAAAACCAGAAAATACGGCAATCCACATTGGATAGTGTAATGTGTAAATACCTTTTGTGGCTCACCTTGGCCATATTTTCCCATAGATTGAAACCTTCTTCCAGCAGATAACAATCGCTTGCCAAGTGCTGAGTAGCCAACCAACGAGATATTCAAATCACATTCATTTATTTTGGGGGAAGAGAGCTGGTAGGGCAAGCCTCGATGGATGTATGAACATGGGGTGCATGCTTACTGGCTTACCTGATTTGGTCTTGCTGTCAAAGGTCCACCAACTGAAAAAAGTTATGCTCCCATAAAAAATAAAAAAAATCGTTTCCAAATAGCACGAAGGAATTTCCAGTTACTAAAAACAGAAAAGGCATTGAAACACATACAAGAATGTAATTCGGAAATGAAAAAATGCATTAGGATAGAAGGAATCACTCTATCGCAGGTAAGCGTCAATTCATTCGGGGATGTCTTCCATCAGGATCATCAAGAGATATTTTTATTACATATATCAGAAAGCGATAAATAACAATTCAAAGCACACCCGTTTAATTCATACAGCAAACAAGCAGAAAGCAGACATAGAAACGCTTTTCAACTGGGAAAATCCTGGTAATTGTGGCAACAATAACCGTTACTAACCTCATCCACAATAGGTCCGTTTGAAAGGTCAAAAGCGGCATCGTTGAGCTTCACAAATCACATGGACGCATCTGTTATGCATAATCGAAAAAAATATGATATTACATAGATTAAAATACATATTCTCATTACATCTAATCGAAGATCGCGTGGAAGCTGCGCAAAATAATCCCGAGGAAGATCGAAACTGTCCTGCAACGTAAACACCCGTAAGAATCGTAAAAGTAGAGCATGAAATCAACACCTGAAGGTGAAACCCAGATACAAAAAACATAAGTTGAAATGGAAAGTATGCAAAAGGTAAAAGCTTACAGCAATTTCTTGGAGGAGAGATCGAGGATCGGGTTCTAAGGATTTGGGAGAATCCGACTCGGTTAGTGCAAAACGGATAACGAAGGATTTAGAAACGAAAGGCCTTGCGCCGGCTGTGAAACTAAGCGAGGGTAAGGAAGAGACACGTTGAGAATAACGGCGAGGTAGTGGAGCAAGAGAGGAACAAAATTTGGAGAGGGGTGGAAGGAGATGAAGTGAAGCCATTATATCCGTGTCTCGTCACCAAGGGAAGCCGATCCAGACGAGTGACAGCCACGGGAATCCTGCCGATCATAGGTTTTGATTCTCTCCTGCATTTTAAATTTATTTAATTAATAATTAATAACGAGCCAAACTCGGGTATTGCTTGATCATTGAAATGAGCCAATTGCAAAGTTTCTATAAATATAATATAAATTAGATTAAGAGACCTAAAATAAATATGTAATTATTCCAACGCGGTTGCCAACTTCCCATAACCACATAGCGTCTATAAATTTGGTTTTACAGTCTTCAAAATCCACGAAAATTTTACAATAATTAATGTGTTAAATAAACTCTATAAAAAATAACTTCATGTATGATGCATTGGTATCAAATAAATAAGAGGTAAAACAATTTAAAGGTTTACACTTTCCTTTTCAATGTTTTTTAAAGAAGGAAAAATGACCTAGAAATATCTATTGAAATTTTAAAAGATAAATAGATTATATAAATAAGTAAAAAGACCAAACGAGCATGATGTATGAATTTGGAATGTACAAAGTTTAGTGGAAAAATTAAAATACTACTTAGGATGACAAGCATAAAAATTTTTTTGTTTTTGGGTATTATTATAATCAAACAAGCTTTTGATAACATTTGCAAAGTAATTAACAACCTTCAAATTAAATTTGACCACTTTTTTGTAACTTATTCTTGGCCATTTATAGATTTGGAGGGTCGGAGAATTGAATTGAACAAAGTTACTAAACATGCAACTAAATTGACAATTTGTGAAATAAAATGGACTTTCCATAACACATTTTGTATCAAAACAGCTCAACACCTTTGAAGCATCATCGGAGGAAAAATAAAACAACAAACTCAGAACGGCTACAGCCCACAGTAAAAAAATCTCCTTCAAATATAATCCATCCCTACTGCGCGAGCCGTGGTGAGCGTTCACTGTGACTAGAGGGTAGGGAGCAGGGAAGAAACAGAGAAAAGACAGGGAGGAAGAAAAAAGGAGGAAAAAAGAGAAGGAAAGGGGGAGGGGGATTGTTACATCAGACCCTTAAAACTGAAAATTGGTTGAATACATTATCAGACACGCCTCAACGGTGATAAAGTGTCGCATCCCTGTCCTTGGCTCAGGAAAGCTGATTCAGCTAGGGTTTTTGACTCCCATGAAAAGCCCTGTTAGTAGGATTCTACACAAAGTTTTCGAATTATTGGGGTCTCGACAAAGTTTTCGATGTTTGGTATTCTCAGCTTTTGCCCTCGCAACCTTTCTTCGCTCGATTTGACCGGTTATTGGGCATTGCATCTCTGTCCAACTTATTGGCACCATGGTCGCACCTAAACCATAAATTACACGAGTTTAAGCAAGGTTATACGCAGATGACCCTGTTTATCGAGCATGAAACGGCTTGTGAACTACGAAATAAACAAGACATTCCATTACAATAATATAGGTTAACGACAAACATGGCACCATGTATAAACATTTATTAAATGTGGCACCATGTATAAACAAGCAGCCACCTCATCCACTAACGAACTATGGGTTAACGACAAAGTTCTGCAGGTGTAATTCTCGAAATCCAAGTAAAATCTCACCAGCAGTGCTTTCTGCAGAGATGACACCAAGTTCATTCTTTGCTGTTGACAGATAGTATGCTCGTGCATCTCCAAGAGAAAGCTAGTAAACAATAGATGTGTTGAGAGAAGTATCCAAATAACAACTAATTTAAAATTATATATAAAGTCGATTTTTCGTTGTGAAGAAATAATACCACAAGAGCTCTAACAATATCACCAGGATGGAAAGACAGGTGCATATCAACTTTATCAATCTCAGTTGCTCTTACATCTTGTTGCCTAACAAAAAGAGAACCATAGACACAAGCACATTGTCAGAAATGAACATACTTTCTCTAACCATATAATTTGTATTTTTGGCCAGACTCAAACCATATAAACTAAACATCAGAGTATTCCCAGGCCAGACAACGTAGGAAGTGCGATCAAGAAACCAACAAAATATGAAGTAAAATCAATAATACAAACAGAAATTATTCAAACTTCTCCTATTTTGCCTAGTAATTGCTTGGATTAAAAAAAAAGGGTTCTCAAACTATGAGATCAGGGATGATTCTAGTTGAATGGCAATCAGATTTCCAGCAGCAAAGCAGTGGAAACAGATTTGCAGGTTCGTAAAAGATTCAAGTATACAACGTCAATTGAGACATGATTTAAGCCACCTAAAAACAGGTTCTGCCAATTTCTTTAGCCAACCAATGTCACCAAGATAACAGATATACAACCGCTGAACTGGGGTTTACAGTAGGGAGGCAACCCTTCTGGATTCTATCACAAAAATGTGCGCAAGCAGCAAGTGTAAGATTGTAAAAATAAAACTTTTACAGCAAAGTTTCTGAAACCAATGGCTATATCTTGTGTATGCAAACTTGTATAAGATGTAGGTAAAAATAAGGTTGAAAAAATTACAACTGCATCATAACAGCCGCATGATGTTCTTTTTTCCAGTTTTTATGATGCTCTTTTCTGCATTTTTTTTTTAGCCAGATTCACCGGCATATGATGTAAAATATCATTATGTCTGAAATCTTTGCACATCTACGGCTTGTGCAAGTACACTTCTGTCAATTTACACTTTATAACATCCTGTATGTATAATTATGCTAATAAATTCACTTTAGTAGAGGTATAGCATAGAAAAATTACCTAATTATCCCAGTAAATTTTTCTCGAACTGACTTAGGGCCAACACACATAATATCAGCAGAAGCTGACCTAGCCATCACCTTCGTGACCTATCATAATCCAATAAATGTGTGATTGTTTAAAACGCCTTCAGTTTTCTCCTTCCTCCTAGTAGTTGAGAAAGAAGAAGTAGACAAGCGAATAAAGAAGGATAAGAGTTTGGAGAAATATTTTTTATAAAGAGTTGAAGGATGAAAATTCAGACAAAGACTTTAAGTTGCAGGTGAAACTGTCGTAAATCGGATCAGTGAGAAAGTACTCGTGCAATGACAACAGATCCAGGCTCTGGTACAGCTCCATGGGCTTTGTGACCAGTTACTTCAACAGTAGGTCTCTGCACAGTATCATCAGCAGAAACGCTAATAACTTCATGTTTGTTCTGGAAACCAAACTAAAATGGTTTAAAAGAAATAAAGGCGGATCACAATACAAAAGAAATTAGTTACGGATTCCGCAACAATGACCTCGAGCTCAAACACTCATCTTCATAGCATAATATAAAACAACGAAGGCCGATGCGAACCTCAACTTTAAAAAGAAATTAGCCAGTCACTTATGGCGCCAACCGACCCGACCACAGCGCGCACGCTAGGAGAAAAAAAAAGAAGAAGAAGAAAGAAAGAAAGAAAGAAAAAGAAAAAATAAAAAGGAGGCGGTTTGGCGGTGGGGGGGAGCATTTGAAGCTGAATTTAGTTTCCTTAGTCAGAATCAATAAAAAATAAAATTGCTTTGTCTTCAAGCCCGAAAGCTAGGGTATCCAAAAATTAAAAATAACAGTGAAGGTGATTAAGATATCAGCAATTATTGTGAGCGAACAAATCCACATCATGGAAAACTAAAGTTATGGATTCCGAATAACTAAAAGTTCCATCGGAATGGACTTGACAGAAAAGAGATGAGGGGCTTGATCGAGAGAGAAACCCTAGGAAAAAAACAGAACCTGGTCAGTGAAGTCGGGAGGAGGAGATGTGATGCGGCGGAAACCAGTTAAAGAAGCATAGACGGTGTTGTTGTGAGGAGCCAGATAAGCACCTTTACCGGGTTTCACTTCGGAGGCGATGCCCAGCACTTCCCCCGGCGTGACAATTCCTTCTTTCTCTTCTTCCATTCTGTCTGGTCTCCGACTCCCGCTTCCTCTCTAGTCCCTCCCTCCCAAATGGTTTCGTAATTTTGGGCCGATCCCTCCCTTTCAATTCGCCGGTTATTGTTCCACAACGGGTTCGATCCACCCCGCTTAATCCATAGTCGGCGATTTTAGCAAGGCCGGCCCTTGGGGGCTGGAGACCTTTGCCCTAAAACCCTAATCCGTGCGCGCGCAAGATAGGATTAGTATTTTAATATACTACTCGATGTTTAATATAAAAATTAATTTAATTTTAATGTTCGTTATAATTAGTATACTTGATTAATAAGAATATTTTAAAAAAAATAGTGTATATTTATTATAAATAATTAACTTAAATAATTTTGTTTGATCTTCTCAAATTAGTCAATTAGCTCTTATATAAAAGATAGGATATTGTATAATTTACTATCATAAAAATGTTAAGAATAAGGGGGTGTTTGGTATAATTTTAAAAAATACTTTTAAAAACTATTTTCACATAAATTGAGAGAGAATTATTTTCACATTCTTACTTTTAAACACTGTAAAATTACTTTTAAAATCATGATTTGGTTTTTATTCAAACACCCTATAAGATTGAGAGATGTCAATGTAGTCCCAAAAAAAAAACGAGAGGTCTTAAAATAATTCATGTATCTGCGTATTATTTACATCGCATGAGATTTTAAATAAATATTATATTGACGGCCTAAATTTATTTTTGAATTTGAAAATATGCATAGAAATACAAATATTTAAAAATTTCAAACAAAAATTAACTCTTTTTTTCTGAACAAGCACGATATTTATAAAATATAATTAATTAATAGTATGGACATAAGTGTGTGGTAACTCATCAAATATTTTAGTTTATCTTGTTTCTTGTATTTACTCCCATGATTTTAAATATAAGATTTTTATACTGGTATAAAGGTTTTATATTTAAGACCGCAGGAGTATTATTTTTCTCAAAATTGATTTACTTAATCTAAAAATTAATATAGTATAGTCTAATATTACATGTGAGTAGTTAAATCGTTTAGTATACATCTTTGATCTGTCCAACTTAATAAACTTTTATATTGACGATACAATGTGATAGTTCTTTAGCTTAGAGGAAAATACTCAGGATGCCTGGATTCCACTTCGGATTCTTTTGCCTGTGGAAGCACGGAGCAACAACTAGTTGTACCAAGTTCTCTAATAACCCAGCTATACTGATAAATAAGTGAATCTGACAATAAAAATACATCACAAAAGCCCTTGTCCATTGCACTTCCCCGCCCGCGTTCGAGAAAAAATGACGATAGTTGATGGGGTTTGTAGGAATTAAACAGCAGATTTCTCATTCTTTAAGAGTGAGGATGTGGGGGGGGGAGGCAGAAGTGCTAGCCTAAGAAGCTTATCCGATTTGTTTCCGATTATAATATCTCCTTAGCCTGCAGGGCGCGTATATCACATCAAACATTAAAAAAACGGTTGGAGGAAACAAAATCATGATTTTAAAAATAATTTTATAATATACAAAGTAAATATATAAATAAGTTTATCTTGATTTGTCAAAAAAGTACTCTTAAAAAACACTTTTGATACTATCCAAACACTTTTTAAGTTGAGTTTAAAGGACAAAAATGAGAATAAACGAATTGTGTGTTAGAATTATTACTATTGCTCCTCTTTTTAGAAATAAAAATTTGGAGATAAATTCCCATTTTAAAAGTTAATTGTAAAATAGGACGTGGTCTTAGATGACAATAAATTTGAAGAGTAAAAAGACTGAATAATATGAGTTGCATATTCTTGATCCCAAATTAGATATGCCTGCATATAAGACCTAATTACATATCATTAATCATAATCACATTAGCATATTCTTGATCCCCAATTAGATATATTTGGTCCTAATTATATACTGCATATGCCTAGTTATATATTATTGATGTTAATTGCATGTCATTTTTTTAAAGTTACATATGTTTGATTCTAATTGCATATCGATGATGCCTAGCTACATATACAATTTAGCTGCACATCACTGATTATAATTACATATCCTTAATCTCCAGCTATATACACTTGATCCTGATTACCCATTGCATGTGTCTAATTACATACAAGATCTAATTGCATATCATTGATCCTAATCGCATATATTTGATAATGAATTGCATATGCCTGATCTTAATTACATTTTATTAAAGGGATCATAGTAATTTCATTTCCCCTTTTAATTCTCCACAGGGACATCAAAAGTTTCGATCTCTTTTATAATTAACTTTTTAAATAAGAATTTATATCTAATTTTTCCTTTTAAAAAGCCTGCAGTGGAGAGAAAAGGGGAGAAATAAGCAATTACTGGCAGTAAAATAACGAGGACGAAGTGTCTGGAAGATATATGGTAGTTGCAATTTGACGTCGACTTTAATCAAGAGATTCAACGCCCCTGCAACACAGCCATCACTAAGTGACGTATGCCCAGATCGTCTCCTGTCTGCTTGTAATGCACGATTCATTTCCGCCCCACAACCACCGCTGCGTTCTAGTTATGCATCGCATATGTATCTTATGTTTCACATGCAGAGTCTGAGTTGACCCAGTCGTCAAATTGAAGGCCCCGCGCATGCATATTCGAACGCGAAACAAACGAATTAGCATGGAATCCGGCCGTGTCATATAGTTAAAACATCTGCTTTGCTTCTCTCTCGCACGCCCACAAGTCCACAACATTAATTATGAAACCAAACATCAGCGCACTAAGTTAATAGTAATTTTAGTACTTGATATAAAAACTAGTTAATTAATTTAAGTAGATTAAGAACATTAATTTAGTTATTTACAGTAAACAAGTGCTGTCTTTTATAAAATATTCTTGTTAATTATATGTATTGATTAAAACTGTCATTTGATGAAACTTTTAACATGTACAGTTACTATAAGGACAATCTTAAGAAAAATGAATAAATGTAAAAAACAAAATAATGATTAAAATTTTATATTTATGACTAAATTAAATGTCACATTAACTCTTATATCAATAACGAGAAGTAATATTATTGTTGACTCCATTATACTTCTACGTGATCGTTTGGTGATGGAATCTCGGCAGGACTGAAACTGGAAATATTTGTCGACGGCAGGGGATACGTCCCACGCACAGCTGAGTCCTTTAGGGATGGTCACCAGATCACCAGGCCCAAACTCCACGGCCTCCGATGAGGACCCTCTCGCATGGACCTTCACCTTCCCCCTCACCCAATAACACGTCTCTTCCACCACAAATCCCAGCATGTACTTCCCAGGAGGACATCCCCACTTGATTCTCCACCAAAACACAAAAAATGGCGTCACTAACATAACCAATTAAAGCCACACACACTATATAGATCACACTACTCACTTGGGCCGCGAATAGATTCCTGGCTCGGACAACCGTGACTCGGAAGGATTCCTTTCTATTCTCACACTTAAATCCGGAGACGACCTCTGCACTCTTGAAGCGGGCCGGGTGATACCACGATGAAGTGGCGGAATGAAAGACCTGATTCGATCGCCGGCCGCCGCTTCAATAAGGACGGCGGAGAGGAGCTCATCAGCTTCCCCGTATATATAATATTCGTTTAACTACCCCCGTCAAAGGTTGGGCCGGAGTGAATCGAATCTTTTAATATCAAGGTGTGATGTCCCTGAAGAAGAATCTTCAAGGCCAAGCATCCCCAGATAGCGGTTGTTGTGTTTTATAAAATTCCCGGCAATACAGCAGACATTTGTTGTGCTGCACTAACAATACATCGCGGACAATTTATGTGGAATGAGATTGGAGGATCTATGGAAAGACAAAGCCAGGCAGAGCGTGGGCACATAACGTACAGTTGAAAATTAATTAAACGTGGCGGAATATTGATGTGAGCGTGCATTCCCATTAGTTACTACGCGAGGAACACAGATTGCTGTGACAATGGGTGGGTGTTGGGGAAGAATCGATATCATATTGTTGGTTACGCTCCTTCTCTACTGTCCAGCCAGCAGCTTGGGATCCTATTCCCTGTATATTTAAAAATCGAACTCGTAACTCAAACCAGCGACATGTATGTGTGCGCGCCCTTAATCGTCCTTCACCTCTCGCAATAGCTACTTCCCCCACCATCATGCACCCTAAATATAAGTTGCCACCCTCTTCATCCTCCCTTTAATTTTACATATATATTAACAATCACACACACACACACACATATCTTGATATTCATTTTTATCTTTTCAGTTCACATAATTAATTTTGTCGCGTCTCCGGATGGATGCTGCCGCCACTAATTTTCTGTTATATCAAAACCATGAGTTTCCCCAGACTGCGGAAGATACGAGTGGGGTGAGCTCATGCTAATTTTCCAGTCCATTCTATACACACACGCATTAAAAAAATGTAAATAAAATTAAATAACATCAAACATGACTCGTCGCAACTCAATTATACGGTGAAAAAGCATATCCGAAGTCAGCTACATTCATATTTAGAAATTTAAAAAAAAAAAAAAACCAATAACATGTCCTGCCGTTGAACCTGTTCTGCTTCTACTCCCTACTCCGTCTCAACACTGGCCTTCATTATTTGTTCCTCGGCTCTACTCTCTTCGTTCGTTAACCATTCATCCCTCTTCACCTTGAGCTTTTGCTTGGGATATATTCAATCGTTAGTCTCTCTCTCTCTCTCTCTCTCTCTGTGTGGCAGAAACAAAGATAATGGACTGCAAATGCAACTGTGGCTTCTTTGACGCTGATCCATCTCAATGGTAAACTCGTTATTGGTTTTCTAGCTAAATCCCAGGAACCCGGTTCTCGTAATCGATCAGCATAGCAGAAATGGGAAAATCGAAGCATACCCAGGTGGATCAACCGGGGCTGGCTGGGCATCCGGTCAACATTCATGGTGCCCAACTCAGCATTTTTTTTTTGAATTTCAAAATAGACATGGAGCTGAATTGGATATTTTTTTTTTATTATATAAGATAATCATCGATGGTTAGCGTGAGTTATAAATGACAATGACTTAATTATAAATAATAAAAAAAGTGAGTAAGAAAAGGCGGAGTGAGTAAAAAGGAAGAGGATTAAAGATTAATTTTCATGAGAAATAAAGATAAAAATTTGGGGGGGGGGGGTTGTTTGAGTGGATAGGGATTGGGGAGCCCAAAACGAAAAAGAAGATAGGCTTT